GACCTTGCTGATGGCGAAGTGCAAACTGCAGCGGGCGAGAGCCCGGCCCCACGGTCAGCTGAAGCGTTGGACAAAAGCTTTGCCTGGACGCGTGACTGCTTACCACTTGCAGATGTGAGCACGGTATCCTGCAATGTCATCACTGCTTCCTCTGCATCTGCCCTCTTGTCATAGGTGCACACCACACTGCCACTACTTTGGGCATGTCCTTCACTGTCGAAACCGGGCTGAATTTGTACTGCTATCAAAGAATCTGCTCCTAGGCCGGACTCTCTATGCCATCTCATGATGCACTCGGACGTGCAGTCTTCGGGTGTGCCATCAAAGAGCACTTCGCGAACTTCGCGAGCTGCACCAGCATCTGAAAGCTCGAGTTCCGACAGCACAAAGTTGGCTTCCTCTGGCTGAAGCCCGAGGTGCCTGAGCTTCTCCATGCCTTCCAACTGCCTGGAACGCTCACTTTCTGCCAGCTCTGCTTTGAGAGCAAAAAGCTCCCTGCGACATTTCTCAAGGTCCTGCTGCAATTCCTTCGCATGGCTCCTGTCTTCCTCGGCCTGGCGCAAAGCCGCTCGTGCAGCCGCCTGGTGCTCACACTCTGCTCTGCCAACATCCAAAGCACACAAGCGCAACAGGGTGCCAATGAATCTAGGCCTTGGCTCGACGCAAAGCCTGAGATGTGCTCAGACGCACAGTGTCTCCCGTGCAAGTCTGAGCCCGCTGCCGTCTCGAGGTCAACATCGTCCTGGTCAGAGTTTCGTGTTGAGTCTGACGTATGAAGCCATGCAGGGGGAAGGAGAGTTTGGAAAGGCACTGTCGGCGCAACGTGGGTCGGATTGATGGCAACTGTGTGCCCGTAGTACACGCTCACTGACACGAACTCTTTTTTTGGGGGGTCCTCATCATCCTCCGGGTCCCGACGAACCTGGCATAAGAAGGTCTTTTCCGTTTCCTGACCACTGCAGCGTGTCGCTTGCAGATGGGGTTCGCCTTGCCGGCTTCCAGCTTGTTCACGTCCTTGGCTCCGAGCAACGCTGACACTCTAACGGGTGATGGCAAGCCATGCCATCACTTCAGGCAAGGCCACTGGGGCTGGAGCCAGGCCCATGGTACTTTTGAGCTCTTCAACAAAAGAAGCAGATGCATTTCCGTCAATGATCTGCTGGAGCTTGTCCTGGCATCAAGTTCGACACAAAAGCACGAGACCAACAAGTGTAGCATTGAATGGTTCCTTGACAATGAGGAGGACCAGGATGCGCTGATCCTCGAGAAATTTTGCAAGCTTCCTATGACAGGTGGGAGCTGCAGCTTGGACTCTATGGACTTTTTTCCAAAGAAAAGTCATGTGCTCCTCCGTCAAATGTCGCATTGGCTCCTGAGTTTCAGGTTGGTAGGCAGGTACAGTATCCCAGCATGCTCTAAAAAGGTCCAAGCCGCAAAGAAAGTTATTCTGTCGTCTGCATCGGGTGCTCCTGTCCCTCCCTTTACCTGCAGAGCAGTGAGAGCAGGTCTCATGCAGCTGAGCGAGTCTGGGATCCAGGACTTCAAACTTTGCACCGAGACACCAGATCCAGCTGCTTCATTGCCTTGGATGAGCAGTGAACCGTGTTTGGTCTCTTCACGCGCGCCCTGCCGGAAAGGAGGAGCGTAGGGCTCCGGCACCTAGGTTGCAACGAACCAGCTTCATCTCAAAGTCCTCGCGCAGCAGACAAACATAGTGCAGTCCCACTCTCGTCGGTTTTGGCTCGCGGTGGCACTTCCCACTGTCTCTCCACTGATGGCTCCCCAATGAGCGATCTCCCACCCTGCCATACAATGTACAATTGGAGGCTCTCGCTTGCGCCCGTGTGTGGTACTTCACTTGGTCCAAGTTAATCTCATTTCACGCGACTCTTTGTATGCAGATAGCAAAAGGTACAAAGCCAAATACAAAAAAAAAATTACCCTCAAGAGCCCACGCTCCGACCCCCCCCCCCCCCCCCCCCCCCCCCCCCCCCCCCCCCCCCCCCGCCCTCCCGGTTGCCCCCCGTGGGGGGTACCCGAGGCAGGACCTCCCCGCCATCCGCTTTCACTCTTTCTTCCAGTCTCTCTGATCACCAAGAGGGCAAGTAGGACAATCAATCAAGGGGTCTGATGCTTCTTTCAAGAGCTTCGAGGAACCCTGACAAAACTGGAGGGTCCGTGTTGAGCCCTCTTCAAGTCCTGCCGTGCAGCCTTGAGCTCCTGCTCGGATCTTTTCAGGCTTGCAGACAAGGCGTCTTGGCCTCCGCGCTGCAAAGAGGAAAGAGGAGTCTGCGAAGTCTAGGACATGCTTGGATGTACAAGTTAAGACGTCAGTGATCAAAGCCACCATGCAGCGCAAGAGCAACACCCATTGCCGGGCCCTCTTTCAACAAACAGGACCCCTTTTTCATGTCCTGACATACTGATGGCTAGAGGTCCATGGGCGTCCATGATCTAGGTTGCTTCATCTCGACCAACGCAACGAAGTGAAGCACAAGATACAGGAGAAACCATCAGAGAACAAACTTCGAGAAGCCCTAAGCCCGACACCCTAAACCCGAAACCCGAAACCGCACTGTCAATACGATCAAGATCTAAAGCAAAGCAGGCACAACAGAATCACAGCTGAGACATGTTGCCGAAACAATGATACCAGCATGCTGTGCTTGAGATAGTCATGCCATTGTCATGGTCACAAAGATGCAGCAAAAAAAGAGTGCTCTTGTGGAAGAATAAGTCTTTAACACGCTGCGATACAGTCCTTGTGCGTGTGGAACGATCTAAAACAGGAGAGCACTTGCAACTTCACACCATGCGCACCTTGAGACAGCATCGTTGACAAGCAAACTCGGCAGAGCTTCTGAGAGAAGGTCTGCATCTCCTGCAGGATGAGAATTGCCAAACTGATGCTCTTAATATCTGGTGCAACCCCCCAAAGAAATGCAGCCAGCTGCCTGCGAAGGTACCTTGAACTTCCGCCGGTGCTGTGTTAGAAGCTGTACAAAGTTCCAATCCTCTTCCAAGATACTCCTCGGTGCACGTGAAAGAGGAATGCCCACACTTCGTCAGGCTGCCAATCCAGATTCGATGGCCAGTAGACTCAGTAGACTTTTTCGATACAGGCCAAAACGAACCAAGCCAACAAATCGAAAAATCGCAGCTAAGACCCTCACCATGTAAAACATACAACCAGCAGAAGCAACTTCAGCTGACGCATGTTGATGCCAACAGATGGACGATGGAGAAGTAGCCCGACCTTTCTGTTTCCAAATCCAAGGCGCAACACATCATCTACGCAGTGGTCAATGGAGTGCGAGGTACGCCCGGGAGAGGGAGCCATTCCTTCAGAACGGCTCCGCGGGGCATCACCACACTCCCGCACTGCAAGCCAACAGCTTCGAGCACAGGCAGGCAACTGCAGAATATATTCGTTGCCCATTGATGTCGTGGTCTTGGCCAAGGTGAACTCAACAGACCCAACTGTAACGTGCAATTGTCCTCTTCAAACCTTCAGAGAGCCTGAACCATCCGAAGGAGAATAAAGTTACAACGACAAGTGCTTTTTGCCACATACCATTCATTTGCAGCACTCGGAAGTCAAGGGGCACACGTCTTTTGGCGCTGTTCATAATTGCGGGCAATGTCTTGTGTGTGTTTGGCACATGCCGGCCGTCTTCTTGGCTCTTCGGCATACATCAATCAAAACACTTCACACTGTACACACTCCAAAAGAGTTTGGCTTTGTCACCAAAACGGAACGGCTAACCAAGTCTTGCAAGAAGTGTTGAGGCCTTGCAAGCGGAAGAGATCCATTATCGAGTGAAACGTCAACGCGTCATGCATGCGCCCAAGTCCAAGATCAGGGCACAGCAGCTGCCTCACGAGGTGCTTTGCGTCTGTGGTGCCACACAAAAAAGACTGGCTTTCATTGTAATTTATAATCCTATGGTACACCTGGTTCGCCACGGGAGTGTCCACCGCTTTGCGGATGATGGCCTCTGCGCCGACACACTTCGAAGATGCACTGCAGAGTCACCCGAGTCTCTCTGGTCGTCTGATTCTCGGCCTCCAAATCCTCGTCGGCTGTCATCTGGGGGCTGCTCAACCCACTCTCCTCAGCAGCTTGGAGCAGGAACTTCCAGAACTGGCCAGGAACTTCCAGAGAAGCTGAGGGTTAGGGCTGCTGTACCACCGCTGCCTTCCTGGAGGGTCTCAAAGTCCATCCTGTGAGAAGTTCCAGGTCGCTCACGCGCCCGCACCTTCAAAGAAGCTGGAGGGCAACTGACCCTGGCATACATGCTACGACTGACTCAGACGGGATTCAGCTGGTTTTCTGGCGCTAAGCTTCCGCGTTTGACGTTTCGAGGCCCGAGGTGCGCGGCCACTCGGAGGATTTACGCACGCTTTTGCAAGTGCTGGAGAAGTTTTGGATCTGGCTACAGAAC